CGCAACCTTGAATACCTGCCCACGTCTTGGCACCCAGCATCTAGTGACCCTAAAGCTTTCTTCTGAGGACTGATTTCTTCTAAGATATCCCCCAATCCTGGCAGAGGTTCCAACTAGGGCAAACATTCTCACCTGTTAATCCTCATAAGCTGGGGAAAACATGTGCCCTAAATATAACAATGTCAGTCAGTACTAGGCCTGGGCTTAGACCATGAAATTTTCTATTCTGAAGTCTACCAAAAACCTGTTCATGATTATCTCTACCACCAGATTGACACTAGAAAATAAATCTATCTATACCTTACTTTACCTTATTGGTTGGTCTTCTTGGTGGTAAGAGTAGCAATACTGAATAACTTTCCTTTTTCAATCATTAAATTTCAATGAAAAATTCATTTATGCCTCAAAGCTGGGACCTAAAATAAAAAGCTGTAGGCTCTGTGTTTGAGTACAGCCACACCTTAAAGTTAAAGATTCCACTGCACTGATTGCAAAGAATAGGGGTCAATCCGGTGTGAGTGGTTCAATCCTTACAGTGCAGTCTTACTTAAGCTTGTAACTATCATACAAAACTGGTGTGTTATGCCTATGGGCAGTTTACCGGTTACGTGAACAAACAAACAATTGAGAAAAAGGAAGGGCTGCTTGACCTTTCCCCATAAGATTTAATTTGCCCTTTAAATGTTAGGTGATTTGTAAAGTACACACTGCTCTAATCTGAAGTGAAATCTTTGGGTAGTTTCTAGCTATCTATCTGATATATATTTATTTATTTATGAAGATTTACCACATTTGTGGAAGGATTGACATAACAGGTGACCATCACCTCTTCAAAGATGTCAAACCTGAGACCAGACTGTAATGTTTGAACCACTCACACCGGGAAGGTCCCCTACTCTTTTCGATAAGTGTGGTGGGTTCTTTAACGTGCGTGGGGTGTGGCTCTCCCAAACACGGGACCTCCATTTAACGTCCTATCCGAGGGACGTCCCTAACCAAAGCTAGGTACTCATTTTCACCTGAGTGAAGTGAGGAAATTCGTGTAAAGTACCTTTCCCAAGGGTACAACGTCGGGGCGCATGTTTGGACTTGTTCGGGTACGACCCGGAATCGAACCCGGGTCTCCCCGTTTCATAGTCCAGTGATGTACCACTACACCACACGACGCCAAGTATAAGCCTCATTTAATCTGCTTTGCATTTGTTGACTTTAAGGATACAGGTATATTAAACACATATGGACAAAATGTTTTGTTTATATAATCACCTCGGTTGCATCAATATTCAAAGCACCTTGGCACACCATCTCTTTCAAACATTTTCCCGTAACACCCCTCCAAAGTTTTGGGTAGGATGACCCTGATATTACATCAGGCAGCCGTCTGCACAGATGTCCATATTTTCCATTCCAAAAGCATGGAACGATTTAGCAGAATGTCGCAATATAACACCGCAGCCGTATTCTCCAATATCCTTGGATGTGAGTCAGAGGTCTGAGCCAAATTTTGGGGTGGATCCAAGCAGCACTATAAGGTTATGTGAACCAAACAGGTGGCCCTTATTTTGGGCATCCCTCCACAAAAGTGTCAAAATCCTGACACCATTCCAAGGTCACGACTCAGTACTGTTTAACTGACTGGAATGAAATCCAATTGCACTAAATCAAAGATAAAACCCAGTTCTAGGGCACAGTGATACATGTCAATAAGTGGGGTTCAGGCCACACCGAGTTAATTTTATGGATGACATCCGCGCGTGCATTGATTTTCGCCTGTCCTAAAAAAAAAAGATCACGTCCTCCGAGGCTCTGGCTTGGCTCTAGGCCTGAGTAGTCCATAGTTAATGACTATAGGGAGCCGGTGGTAACTCTGGAGGACGGCACCCAGACTACAGAAGCTCCATGACTCAAGATCTCAGTACATATACGTACAGTGCTGAGTCATAAATGCTGCAAAAAGCCAGCATGTGCCGTATGTACTGCAGCAAATTCACAATACCAGCTTTGTATTCCTGCTGTTTATCAGCATTTTTATTTTGGGCCGGAATTTTTTTTATTCGCCTGCGCACACTAGTTTCGGGGTCTTCAGAGGATATTATCCATAAAATTAAGTAAGTGAGGCCTATAAGAGCAGTAGCCAAATCTCACCTGAGCAATGTGTCATCATCATCATCATCATCATCATCATCATCATCATCATTGCAACTCCTGGTTGTAAATCTATCATTCACAATCATTTTATTTCATACTCAGTAATATGCATTAAACTGATAATTTCTAATCTTTCTGAACTATTTCAAAAACTTTAGTGCAAAAGTACTCCTA